CATGTTATAATATATGTACCTTTTGATCCTTTTCCTCTCTCTCTCTCTCTCTCTCTCTCTCTCTCTCTCTCTCATTTTAATTATTTTGATTGTTGGTTGAATTGAAACAGTACGTAGTTGAAGACAAGCATGAAGATGAAGGTTAGGTTTGTCAGCTATATATATATATATATACCTCTTTCTAATTAACGCTTGTTTGTTCGACATTACGGTCTATGTTGCTCATTGAGATATCCCATTCATCTACCAACAATATAAATTAATCAATCATAGTAAGCCATGTGAGCCCTGGACTGGATGCAGGGCACACACCCCATGTTAATGCCTTGTTATTCAAGTGGATAGAGGCACCAAAGTTTGAATCTCTCCTCACCTAATCAATTTCTTACTTTTTAGAATATATATATATATATATATATATATTCTTGCGTATGCGTATCCACCATGGATGATCATGTCATGTGCTTGGAAGTAATTAAGCAATTTATACAAAGGATTGCTTGGTCACATTTATAATATTAGTGCATCTGCATCTCCTCCTTTAATGTTGCCTGCTCACATGCATGCATGAGGATCGATAATACATTTGGAATGAATAAAAATTCCTACTAATTATAATTAAGCTACGTACTCTAGGCCAATTAACAATTGACAGATCAAATCACAATCACAAGGAGCAAAGGATGGTAGGAATGTTTTGTCTGGGAGATCAAGGTTTTTAGGCCATCACACGATGCATGCATGTCGCCTTATATAACTATATACAACAGTAATAAATAATATATATATATATATATATATAGCTGCAACATGAATATATTTGATCAGTGTTTTTGGGATGTCCATGTTAGGCAGTAAAGCTCATGAATGCTGGTTGCTTGTTTCAAGGGATTCCCTGTTTCAGGCCATTTTTCTTTGTGAAGAGATATAGCGCCGTGATTAGTGTTCACCTTTATACACACACGTCAACATGTATACAAGTTTGACAATTTGAATATTTGAAATACAATGTGATAAAGTATTCCTCATCAACTTATTTTCCTCGTCTCTCTCATTATGTATATATAGGTTAGGTATATCAACTTATACAAACAAGACAATAAAAATGCATATTCGGAGGAGCTCCTCCTTAAAATCAATGGGGTTTTGACACTTGTTAAAATTTAACAATATTGACAAATTTTAAAATTGACAAAGTGTCAAAATCCTATATGCATTGAGAAGGAGCTCCTCCTTAATTTTAAGTAGTCAAGTCTTGCTCCGAAATCAAGTTCCTCCCAGTTAAGGGAGAAAAAGGTGAGGAAAAAGAAAGCTTTCATTCTTACCGCAATTGCAATTGGGTCTTAGGAATGAAGAAAAATAGAAAATGACGGGCTCCATCCAACTATTTTTTCCCTGATGGATGGAGAGGTGACGTTGTGTAAAAAAAGTGGTACAATTAAACCCACCTTTTGAAACGGTAGTGGAATGCATGATCTCAATTATTTTAACTATTATTCTACGGATCGAGATGACATTGTTTACGGTCCATATTTATGCCAAATTATGTCAAAATCACATGATTTCTCAAGCGATTTCTTTACCAACCCCTGTGTACTGAAACTAAATAGTCAAAGTAAACAAATCTGGCACCTAAATTAGTGCAGCTAGCGGCGAACCCACTAAAAATTATATACATTTATTTTGTTAACATTTTTCTGCAATTATAATGAGTGCGCTGTTTCGACTATTTGAGACTACATTGTTGACCACATTTTTTATACAAGTGGAGTCTACCTCTATTAGAAGGGTAATTAGCAAAGTGTTCAATAAATATAGCATTATTGATATATAATTTAACGATGGATTGTGAGAATGTGTTATGAGTTGCCTCACTCACAAACGTGTTAAAAGATTAGATATAAATGAGTGGCTGCTTTGAGTCTTGACTTGGAGAATGGGCTCAATCAAAAGTTGCAAGCCACAGCGAGGGAGGGAGGGGGGCTTCGCACAATGAGACAAAGCTAGCCTAGCCATGGACTGAACTGAGCCTTGCATTTGTCTCAAGTTTAGCCCACATTTCTTTAACGGGCCTTATGACTAAATACTAATGTGTTAGGGCTAAATGCTAATGTTTGCGTGTTGCTTAAATAAAAGCTAGCTAACCCATGATCAGACGCAGGTAATTAAGTTACCGATCTGTCCAGAATATTCATATCTCATTCATTAGCTCTTCCCTCCCTCCCTCCCTCCCTCCCTCCCTGTATATATATATTCCTCCACTGTCCAGAATATTGATATGATAAATATCGAGTGTTGTATACTCAAAAATATTCGGGTCCGCTGTAAGCCACCCTAGCAAAGGCTAGCCTCGCCCACAAGATGCTCCGATTCTAAGAATTGCCCACGTTGTCTCTTCGATCGGAGACATCCATTTTAATTTGCATCAAATACTGGATAAACAATAAGAAGCTAGCTGAACTCACATCCCAACAATACGCTTCATGGTGTCATGACTTGTATATTAGCGTTGGTGTGTGTCAGTGTGTGTGACAATGAATAGCTGATGATCATGTCATGTGTGATTATTCGTAAAGGATCTATAGATTGAATTTTACATAACTCTGTCCGTCAGTAGTACTACTGCATATATATATACGACCATCACATTCACATTAATTGTTGAGTACAATTTGTATAACAAAGAGAGTCACATTTAAGTTAACCATTATTAATGAAACAAACTGTCGGTCCAAAATATCTTAATTATTATAATATATATATATGGGGTTCAATATTACTTTTTGATTCATTCATTCATCAACTTCTTAATTAATTTTGATCATCATCACAAGCTAATCAATTAATTAAGGGGAGATGGCGCCTAACATTGTTGTTACCTTGGTGTTGTTGATAGGATTGTTTCAACGGTGGTCATCAGCTACCGCAGCGTACAATGTGGTGAGCTTTGGGGCAAGAGCGAATGGGAAGACAGACTCAACCAAAGCATTCCTTCGGGCATGGTCAGCGGCATGCTCGACGTCGCTGAGGGGGGCAGCCACCGTATATGTTCCTCGAGGTAGTTTCTTGATAAAACCGGTTGTGTTTAGCGGGCCATGCAGAAGCAGCAGAGTTACGTTTCAGATGGATGATACCGGGACTAGTCTCGTAGCCCCATCCAATTATTGGGAACTTGGAAACTCAGGAACTTGGATTTTGTTCATTAAGGTCACCGGCCTTTCTGTCTACGGTGGAACAGTGGATGCGAGGGGACATGCGTATTGGCAATGCAGGAGATACGGAAAGAGTTGCACGACAGGAGCAAGGGTACGTATATATATACAGTACATGGACACACACATATTATATATACATTATACCTAGCTAGTTCAGCCAAACATATATAACATATATATATATTTATATATGCAGTCAGTATCCTTGTTTTGGTGTAATAATGTGGTGGTGAGCGGGTTAAGATCCATGAACAGCCAGACGATGCATATGGCGATTGACAATTGCAAGAATGTTGTGGTTAAAAACGTAAAAATAAGAGCCCCGAGCTCAAGTCCTAACACGGATGGCATCCACATAGAAGCTTCCACGGGGGTTACTATCAGTGGCAGCACCATTATGACTGGCGATGACTGCATTTCAATTGGCTCCGGCTCCAAGAATTTGTGGATTGAACGCATTGCCTGTGGCCCTGGGCATGGAATAAGGTACGTAAAAGAGAGTTACCCACCCTTTTCCTTCTTTCTTGGACAGATTTTTCATATATAATACCTGTCGAGACTGGAGATAGAAGAAGAAAATAATTTTATGTTTCCCTTAAATTTGACAGCATTGGCAGTCTTGGGGATAATGCGAATGAAGATGGTGTCCAAAATGTGACG